AGAGAGAACTCGAAGAAGCGAGATTAGACTGAGGCGTTGAAGTAGGGACGTCTGAGCCGAGGACAGCAAAAGGATTAGATACAGGAGTGATTATGGGAGAGGTAACCACAGAGGTGGGTGTAGAAGATGGGATACCAGAAGTGGGGGGACGTTTTGAAACACGGGAATAAGAAACACGTGGGAGTCTCCCTTGGAGGCGGAGATGAGAAATTGCCATGGCATAAGGGAGACCTTCTGTCTCTTTGAGGTAACGGATTTCCCGCTCGTTTAAATAGACCTGACAACGGCGAGAGTACGAAGGGTGAGCCTCATGACAGTTAAGGCAAGAGGGAGATCGATTGCAAGACGTATTAGAATGGTCATCGGCACCACAGACTGGGCATTCGGCGATAGATCTGCAATATTTCGCTGGATGGCCAAATCGCCAGCAATTTCTACACTGTTGTGGTGTAGGGATCACCTTTCGAACTTGTAACCGATGTCCTGCTATATAAACTGAGGATGGGAGTTCTCGGCTGTCAAAAGTTAAACGAGCCACATTGCTAGGGTATCGTCTCCGCCCACGGGCAGGAAGAACGTAAGTGTCTACCTTGAGGATTGGGAGATCTTGGAGTTCCAGCTGTTCTAGAATGTCGGTGCCACATGTCTGGAAATTTTGTTGAACTATGGTATGGGGCAGAATAACGGTACCACTACAAGAATTGAGGGAATGATGTTTTTCAAGGGTGACAGGAACAGTATCTATATGGGAAAGACGAGAGAGCTCACGAGCCTGGGTAGCATTCTGTACGGTAATGATGCGCGTACCGCTCTTAAGAGCATGAAAAGAAATATCTTTACCAACATGGCGTAGGAGTGCCTTGCCAATACTATGGTCAGAAAGATAGGCAGTAGAGGAAGTTGGTCGTAAAGTGAAGAATTTAGTCCACTGTTCAGTCTGAAACTGAGCGTGGAAAGGTAGTGAAGGACGTGTCGATCTTTTCTGAGAAGAACGAGAAAGTGAAGGTGGAGAAGTATCATCAGCAGGTAATTGTCGTTGACGTTTAGGCGTGGGACCAGAGTTGGTCCGACGTGGAACGGGTCGGCGATTTGAAAATTGCCGCACCGTAGAGGGAGAGGCCGGAAGCATAGTCAGAGGAGAGCGAAGGTCTGGTAAATCGAAGGAGTCAGTCGAGGCCTCAGTACCTGAAGCAGGTGAGGAAACAGCACCGGCAATAGGTACAGAGGCATGAGGAATGTCTGAAGAGTGGTCCAAAGACGAGGCGGGGTCAGAACGGGGTGCGGTATCAAGAAGGGGCCCGGGGGTACCAGGTTCATGGACTAGGGCTGCCATGGTTAGGTTACTTCTTTCTTTTTGTTTTTAAGAAAAAAAAAGAAAGAAGAAAAGAAAATAAAAATAAAAAAAAGAAAAAAAAAGGGGGGACCGGGGAGGGATAGTTCCTAGGAGGAATGAAAGGGCCAGAAATCTCCCTCCGCGCCCAAGAGGACTCGACACCGCTAGTAGCGCAGATGCAGCATGGAACCCGTGCCATACCCTACCCTTCATGCCAGTAAACCAGCAATCTGGGATAGCAACCTCACATCTGCCGAGCTACCTCGGTGGACAAAAGAGAGGGCGGCCGGATATCCGCCACAAAGCATACCTCCTTCAGCCACCACCCCCGGAATCCGAAAGGTGGCTTCCAGAGATACACCCGTCGCCCAAAAGACACCCAAAGCTACTCCGGGATACCGGAGAGGGATCGGGACATCCCTAGGCAATCCAGATTCCACGGCAAACTACGCCACCGCCAAGAAACCTCAACGGAATGGGATCGACCCCGGTGTCCTTTCCTCTACCTAGGAACTAGCGTGCCTGTGGGAGAAATCCCAAAGGACAAAAAGAGGAAGGGCAAAAGGGAGGAGTGGGGAGGAGGAGGAGGAAAGGAAAAAGGGGAGGATGGGGAGGATGGGATAGGGGAGGGGAGATTGGGGGGTAATTAGGTTCGGTCTGAGGAAGAAGACCGATAGGTCTAATTCCTCAGACCAAGAGCCTCTTCACCACGCCAAGGAGCCCCCCTTGAAGAGGAGAAATAAGGTAAATCTTTGATTTTTGTGCGATGAATTCAAACTAAGGCAAGTGTAATAATAGGAGAGGCCTATTATTATAATATAAAATGAAGTGCTAAACCTACAAGGGTCATAAAGGAGGCCTAAGGACATGAATAATGAAGAGAGAAAATGTTGTCTTAGTGCCTGAAGTGTCTAGCATGCTTTATAGGGTAGTGCTGTATAGCCCTTGTGGCTTAGCGCTTCTTTTTGATTATAATAATAATAAATTTATAGGGTAGTTCTGATAGTTGAATGGGTGGTTTCTTGTGAAATAATTAAGAATTTGGTCGAAGGGAGAATTGGAATTGGCACATAAATTGCGCCCAGACTGCTAACTTTGTGCCTGTGTGACCCGATTAAGGTTTTCATCGAATTTTCTACTTTTTGTCATTACCTTCAGAAATAGACTGTCTACCATTTCAGAAGAAAAAGTAACTTAAAAAAGAAGTGTACACTGAGAGCCATATTAATTTCCGGAGTCAGGACAGAGAAAGAGTTAACTATGTCTGGGTTTGCCGATACACTGCACTGCCAGATATTTCGTCCCATATATAAACATACATATACATGTATGTATAAACATTGTATATATATAACTATAATTTCCTAAACTTTTGTATGTTGTTTTCTCCCCAAAAAACAAAAATACAACATACGCAAAACCAAAATTGTAACAATGAAAACTAAAGAGAATGTGTATAATTTGGTTCTTGTATGCACATGTTAGAACACACCACCTTAAGTACTAAATTAGAAGCTGCAACATCTTTAACAATACATGTTATTATTACTTCCAGTCACTATAGACAATGGGCCATCTAAATTGTCTCAAAAAAAAAAAAAAAAAAAAAAAAAAAAAAATGAAAAACTAAATTTTCTTTCACTTACAAGATGTTTCTTTTTTACCCTAATTCTGGTTCATCCTGTACTTGCTGCATATCACAAGAAGTAGTTGACTAATTTCACATTCCAAGTATGGATACAAGGGTATATAATACCGACAAGTAGTGAATAAAGACACACAATGCAATCACTAAGAAATATTTACTGGAATTGTTTCAGTCCTGGGATCTTGATCACTATAAGGTTCTTGGAATGACCAAGGTCCCAGGACTGACTTGATTCCAATAAACATTTCCTGGTGATTGCATTTTTATGTCTCTACAACATTACAAGTACCCAAAGACTTAACAGCAATGAATAAGCATTTATATGATTCTGAAGATTTGTTTCACAAAAGTGCAACAAATTCTTATGACTATTAACTATGCATTAAAATAGTCATTATCAGTATGGTATATACTAAACAATAATGAGGGAAAGTAGGACATAAGGAAATGTGCTATTGCATTCCATAAGAAACAAAGTACATGTAAAAACTATCAGTGTAAAAAAAGAATCTAGTTGCCAATGATGCCAAAATCTAATACATGTAGCTAGTCCATCCACACAACATTTCAAATACTCTGTGCTGCTGCTTGCATGTGATATAATTAACAATTAATAAAGATGTTGGCACTAAATTTTCATGTTTAACTTGCAAAATTATTAAAAATATAGACTATGACAAAAGGTAAACGATATTTCTGGAGACTAAAATTATTATTGGTAAATTATTAAACATCAGATCTATACCTCCTGGCACCTTGCTTTCTTGCCTGTAAAGGTCATTCCTGTTTTTAACAAAGCGCACACACTGCCTTGGCAAACCACCATAAAAATGTAATAAAATTTAATGGTAATACAACAATGATAACCAGGCCTCAAACTTATATTTGGATTCGGCCAAAGAGTACAGTGCACATTAACGCTGGAATCTTTCAAGACTGCAGAAAATATGATTGTCATAAGTATCTATAATGAACATAAATTTACTGAGCAATGAATAAAAAAGAACCAAAGGTTTATGAACGTACAGAAAATGTTCTATTAGAAAGTACACTACCATACACTAATAAGGATCAAGCATAAGTACAACTGATCTATGCTGGATACAGTATCAAGAGATATAATCAAAACTTAATTGATCCATTCTTATTGTGTTGGAATTTAAGAAACTTGGGAAGTATGAAGACCTAGTTTAGGTGTGTAATATGATTCCCATCCCCAAACTTACAAGGTGGGAAAAATATCTGGTATGGATATGCAGTGTAATTCCCCAATGCTCAGAAAACTGAAAAACTCTAGTCTGAGCATGCTGTATAGCCCTTGTGGCTTAGCGCTTCTTTTTGATTATAATAATAATCTAGTCTGAGCATGTGGTATGGTTTCCCCATGCTTGGAGTAGGAAAAATCTAATTCAGGTGTGATGTGATCTACTTATATCTGGGAAGATATTCAGAGTCGCAGTTATCTTTCAAGGTAATCCGGCTGTGCATTCATTATATCGAGTTGCCACAAAAATTCACAAAATAGAAACTACTGAAACTAGCTGTCTATGTTTGGAGCAATAGTCTCATCTGGTTTACATACTGACATTAAAATTTTGAGAGAGAGAAAAAAAAAAGGTCATCCTTATTTTCATCCTTCAAATCAGAGTATAATTTCTATAACCACTTTCCTCCACTTTAATATACTACACTGTAAGCCTACTGAATATATTCAGACTTGGCTGAGGTGCTGATAAATTACTGAACATTTAGCTAAATATGTATATATTGCATATGGTAAATTCAATAAATATATAAAAAAATCATTATGAAAAATCTTCACACAACATTTAGTAAATATGTTTAATGACACCATAATCAAACTCATTTTTTCAGGTATTCAAAATTAAATGAGGACAACTTTGAAGAGCAACATATAACATCAATAACCACACACACACATACACACCCAATCTCTTCACATTACTAAAGATCTTTAAACAAATTCATAAGATAAAGAAACAGGATAAGGAAAGACTGTTTCTCTGAATACTTTTCTTTCTACAACTTTCTTTAAATCCAAGAAATACAGCTGAGATGAGTACAGACTTCTGTACATTGAAAAGTACAAATACACAGACTTTCACAGACTTGTTTGCTGGCTACACTCGCACTTTAGAATAATTCACAGACACTGCTTACAGCAGGACACACATCATCTTACTTTAATTACTGTACACAACACTGAGAGTCCTAATGCCTGGTAGGACTCAATATCACTGAGGTGGTCCTTGCAAGGGCCCAGCTGAGACACTAGGGGGCCCTGGGACCAGGGGGGACCCTAGGGGGGCATAGTGTCACCCCCCACCACACAGTTTGTACCACACATGGCTGAGAGAGGCCTACACGCTCACTGGGTTTACCCACCCGCTACTAAGACGAGGGATTGGCTGCTGGTGCTTCCATGGGGACTGGAGTAGTTGCCGCCAAGGACTCGCACATTGAGGTTGACTCAGAGTTTGTGGTTTGGGTGGGGGCAATTGTAGGGGTATTTGTTGGCTTAACTGACAGGGTTAATTGTGGGGTAAATATAGGAGTATTTGCTGTGATTGGTGCAGGGGTTAAATTAGGTGTGGGAACTTTACCTAGGCTTGGTGCAGCAGCAGGGACCGGGGAAGGGGTTACAGTGGTGGTTGTGGTGGGAAGTGAGAAAGGGGTTGAAGCGGTAGCCATGGCAGAAGCAGGATTAGGGGATGAATTAGGTTTATCGTACTCGTTGGATGTTGAGTCATGATTAACTGCCAAGCTGATGGCTGTGGCAACTGAGGCAGATTGAATGTTGGGTACATCTGATGGTGACTTCACATCCATGGGGGCATCTGGAGTTTTAGTTGACTCAGAAGCTTGTGCTGTAGTAGGTGGTGAGGATGGTGGGGAGGGGCAAGGTGAATATTGGGAAAGGTCAACTTGCACCTGGGCTACATTAAATAACACCTGTGACAATTGAGATGCAACATAAGTGTCCAATATCTGGCTCATGACCAAAGTTAATAGTCTGTTCTCAGTATTGGATAACACATGAGCATTGGCCGGTACTCGTGAGAGGTGTACCAAAGTGTTAGCTGACCGTCGCACCATATCTAAACTTGTTCCCATTAGTTCTGGGTTTTCTTTTAGAGCACTAACACCTTGAACATTTGCTACATTCATTGCTGCTGCTTCTGCTTCTTCAATGAAAGCAACAAGAAGAGAAACACATCCATTTTGCATGGCTATGACTCTGGCAACACCTGAATCTGCTGCAGAGAAGTAATGAAGGAGGTTTATAGAGAACTCTCGTAACACTTGATCTTCCCCACGACACATAAAGCGAGTCAGCTGGCCACACAGGTTATCCAAACGAGTAAATGGAGGTGTTGCCAAAACCAAGTCTGTATTCTGATCAAGCACACAAAGCTTAACCAGAGCCTCCAGAGCAAGACGCTGAGGTGATAACGCTGATTGTATAGAACTTCCACCACCTGGGAATGGATCTTGCCCATATGAAGCAGGACACGTTGCCCAGTGTAGAAGGCCATTTAACAGGGGTCGTGAGATCTCTTCAGGGTAAACAGACAAGTCAAGGTTGCCTGCCATATTTGCTAAAGTGACCAATGTATTCTCATGAACATGATGAAGATAGGGCCACCACCAATGTGTATCAGGAGCGAGAGAGCTGCACCAATCACTCAAGTCTGCTTCCTCATCACGGTCATAATGTGCTGTGGAAGGAGTGCGTTGAGGATGTTCATGGTGCAACAAGATTGTCTTGCCCAGTAAGGCTAGCAAAGATGCAGACTTACTCATTATGTCTTCATTTCCTGGAATGAAGGATAGGTTCCTGATTACTGTACCAACACACATGACCCTACGAGCTAGCCAGTCTTGACCTTCCGTTGTTGTGCTTAGCGATGCTTCATCTGGACTCCATGACTCCTCTTCTAGATCTTCATGCGGTCTCTTAAACCCACCACTCTCCCTTCTAGACCCATTGCTTTCTCGCCTTTCTAACTTTTCTTTAGTGTCCTGCTTATTGAGAGATACTTCCTCTTGTTTTACCTCAGGTACCTTATCACTAGTTGGTTCCTGTTTCACTACCACACTACTAAAGTCTTGGTGCACTTCAGTTTCTTTTTTCAAAACACAAACCTCTTTTACACTTTTCTTATTGTCACTGTTATCTTCAATAGGTTCCTTCTTTAATTTCTTAAATATTTCATCTAGTTTACTCTTCCTTGAATTATTTACTCTATTCACCCTTTGACTAAAAAGTTTGTCTGTTGACTCATTATCTTTGGAGTTGTCACACTTTTCCCTAGAAATAAGGTCTTCCATCTTTTCCACCTTTTTTTCCTGCATTTCAGCCAATAAGTCAATTACTTTGTCCTTAACTGGTTCCTCTTTTATTTGCACCACTTCCACCTTTTTTTCTTCTATTATTTCCTCTTTGATTTCCTTCACTTCCTCTACTTTAACTTCAGTAATTTTTCCGTCCTTTCCCGGTAGTAACCGTGTAAACAGCAGGGGAGGTACAGAGCTCTGCATATTACAGATTATGTGGGCTGTACACTCACCTCCACCTACAGACCACGTATCAACTCCAGAACTGAATCCCTCCCACTTATCCCACTCCCGAATTCCCTCCCTCATAAACAGCTCTCCATCTCTTTTAACAAATTTCACAATCTTGCCAGTTTTAGTGACAAGAGTAAAATCTTCTGACCCTTTTAAAACCTCTTCTTTGTTATTAGGATCATCCTCTTCTAATTTTCCTAGGTCCAACTCGAGGGTAGGCGATGGCGGAGGCCGGAGATACCATGGTCTATCAGTGTCATCATGCTGTTCTGCCTGAAAACCCAACACCACATGAAGATTAGTATTAACTATCATATCTCAAAGAAACAATATAAACAGAGTGAGCCACATTTCAAGGTGATTAACAATATTTTGAGAGGCTCTTTACAAAGGACAATAATTGAACATAAATTAGCATTTAATCACTTAACAGAATACATATTCAATATATACAAAATGTAATGTTATAAACACTGCCATACCTTGACCCTCTTGTTAGCTCCAGTGGCTTCATCATCCCGACCTAACTCAAGTTCTGAGCAAATATCGAACATATTGATGAGACCACGTCTTAGATGCTCAATTAGTGCTTCGAGTAGACCTGGCATATGATGCAGGCCAAAGTAAACGACCGTTTGATCATCAAAGAGCAGTATATTTAATACATCTAGGGCCCACGTTACTTCTGCTGCTAAACCACACCTGGAAATATGTGACACAGGTTATATTTGACATTGCACTGACAACCTATATAGTATACCTAAGATTAAAGCAACAAAATTAGGATACTGATTTGATTACGTGTAACAGCATGTTCGGAGACTGTTATTTGGAGATTGTGCAATACTCCTTTATAGATGAAAATGAGTATGTAAATGTGCCTTAGAGCAGTGTTGTCCTAACTTTTTCCCACAACCCAGTGCAATAATATCAAATATCCTAATGACCCTGAATCTGAAACAACATAACAGGCAAGCTAATTTTAAGCTTTTGATCTATCACGAGTCAAGCTGTACCATATTAATTTAACAAGATTCTTTCTTTTCTATTATTTCAATATACAGTACAGTGAAACCTTGGTATAATGTACTGATAGAAGGGAGGTGTCCTTTGATCAAACAAACTCGTTGTTTCAAAATGCCCAATGCAACAGACATGGTCCGTTCAGAGAGCCTGCCAGGCGCACACACTACTAATATCAATGAATCAAACTTGGTCTGTTGTATGGAAAGCTTACTGCACACGCACACACATGACAACATACAAAATACTAAGAGATATTGATAGGGCAGACATGGACAGGCTGTTTGAGAGGCAGGAAACAGGTACAAGGGACACAGCTAAGTCACAGGGATGTCAGTAAGTATTTCTTCAGTCTTAGGGTGCACATGAAGTGGAATGACCTCAATGAAGAAGTGGAGGCAGACTCCATACATAGTTTTAATAATATGTATGATAGGGATCAAGAGGCTAGGAGTGAATCTGGCAAGCAGCAAGCAGAGAGGTGGGGCCAGGAGCCAAGACTCGAACCCTGTAATCATATAGTACATATACTGAAGTACGTAGGTAGGTAGGTAGGTTGGTGTGCAAGTGTAAATGTAAGACAATAAGTAGTACTTATATTTATGAAAGATGAGTAAAAGGCACTGAACTATTGGCCAGTTTTGCTGACATGTATACCACGCTAGGTAATGAAGATAGTCAGGAGAGTGGTAGAGCACCTGGAGAGAGAAGGCTTCATAAACAACAACCAGCGAGGGCTTACCAACCTTTTGGAATTCTATGACAAAGTAATGAACAAGAAACAGCAGAAAGAGGGCTGGATGGATTGCAATATCATAGACAGGACCTGTACCAAGAAAAGGCTGTGGGTCCAGATAAGGTGAGCCCAAGATTGCTGAGTACATGTGCAAACAAGCTAGCATCACCTCTAACTCACATAAACCATACCACAGGCGGGGTTAGAACCTGCTATCAGAGAGTCTCAAAACTCCAGACCGTCGCATTAGCCACTGGGCCAGCTAGCCACAATGAGATTCATACAACTAGGTATATTTATACACCATAAAGGTTAGCACAGGCATCACTGTGACAACAAATGCAAGTTTTTATAGACGAATCCCCAGCTAGCGTGGCCATGATGAAGTTTTGAGACTCTCTGATCGCGGGTTCTAACCCCACCCGTGGTATGGTTTGTTTGCAATCGTGTCATTACGATTTCGAGTCGTGCTAACTCACATCAGCACTGTTTAGAACAGTGTAAATGGCCTTCTCTGTGGAAAGTGGCAAATGCAGCCCTGGTTCACAAAAAGAGGAGCAGAGCATAAATCAGCAACTATAGACCAGTGTCACTCCTGTCATTCACTTGCAAGATTCTTGAGAAAATAATCTCGCAGGAAGTTATTCAGTTTGTCGACTACCACTCGGAAAAGATCACTCTGCTGCTGATCTGCTATTCAACCTCTCCATTTTGTGTTGCGAGTAGATGGATGAATCCGTGATTAGTTGTGTAGTAGCACTGGACATTGCTGGCACTTTTGACTTAGTATGACACCAGGGACTCTCGGTAAAATCACAAACACAAGTAGTCTCTGACTCTGCACTACCCGCTCCTTAGTGATTACCATCAAGGTAGATCTCTAAGAATAGTTCTTAATGGTGATGAGTCAACAAGACACTAAACTGGTGCCAGCATACCCTGTGGAAGTGTGCTTGGGACATTGTTATGTAATGTCTACTTCAATAACCTTATCCAAGAGAAGAAATGTCAGCTGCTCTCAGTTAAATTAATTACTAGCTAACAGTTATATCAGCCTGACAAAAATTATATCAGGTTGCATTTGCTTGAGAAAACACAAATGATGGTCTCTAGACACCATGATGGTAATGCTGGAGCAGTGAAAAGAATGAATGGGAGAACAGAGCAAGACAACTCATTTTTTGCACCTAGATAGATCTGTCATTTTAGCAGAGTCTTCAACATCAGAGAGATGCGAGTGGTCGTACTGCTACATAAAAAGCCATGTTAATGTACCACTCTTGACTACCTCATGGGCAGTGAGAAGACAGCTTCTACATCACAAGATGGTTGTACTCCTCTCAAGAACTTCACTTCATCCGAGATCGTTCATTCTAAGAATAAGTCTGGAACATGTTTGTTCAACCTAACGACATCAGTGATATAAACTCAGTTGACAAAATGAAATCACTGGCCGACAGATGTCTCCAACTTTATCATGTTCCCTATTTGTATGTTTCTTAACAAAAAGGCTTTCAATTAAGCTGAAACAGGTAACAGTTCTCAGCTTGTAAATAAAAGTAGGAACTCTTAACCTAGCCCTGTAAAAACCTTGTGTAAATAAAAAAAAAAAAAATAAAGAAGGCATTTGACACTGAACCCCACATGAGATTTATGGCAAAAATTTGAGAAGCAGGCAGAAATAACTAGGAACATACTCTGGTGGATCAAAGAGTACCTTAGAGGAAGGAAGCAAAGAGTGACTGTCCAGCAAGAGATGCTAGAATGGGGAAGAGAAACAAGCAGTGAACCACAATGATTGGTATTAGGACCAGTCCCATTTCTGGACATACCACACGTGACCAACATACCACAAGGAATTGAGTCAGAAGTATCTGTTTGATGATGATGAAAACTAATAAGAACACAACAGATGAGGAAGGGGAAAGGCTGCAAACAGATCAGGACAAACTGCAGGGTTGGTCAGACAAATGGTTGCTTGAAGTCAACCCCAGTAAATGCAGGGTTATCAAGACTGAGAAAAGGACCAGAAGACCAACACAGTATAGATTTAAGGAGAGGCTGAAGACTTCATTCAGAGAGGACCTGGGAGTATACATAGTGCCTACCATATCACCAGGGCTCACACCAATCGAATAACTTCTGTAGCCAATGCTTGAATGACAAACCGGAGAGTGGCCTTCAGAAAGCTTAACAGTCATTCCAGGTGCTTCCTACAATATATGTCAGGCCCATAGTGGAGTATGCAACATCAGTGTGGAACCCACACCTGAGGAAGCATGTTAAGAAACTGGAGAAAGTGCAGAAGTATGGAACAACTTTTCCAGTAGGTATGAGCTATAAGGTAAGACTAAAATAATTGAATCTAATGATCTCGGAGGACAGAAGAACCAGGGGAGACATAATAGCAATATACAAAATACTCAAGAGGAATTGATAGGGCAGACAGAGACAGTGTTTGATAAGTGGGAAGAAGGTACTCATGGTTGGTTAAGCATCCAGCAGGCATGTGTGGAGACAAAAGGTTTGTAATAAACATGCTACTGCAATGTGAGCAAGATACCTCTAATGAAAGGATTAAGGAAAACCAGTTAGCTGGACTTGAGCCCTGGATGTGGGATTGGCAGTGCTAATCAGAGTAATCTGAATTATGATATCACCACATTTCTGGCAAGACAAAAATTAAATGAATAATGGTGACTGCATTTTCTTCTTACGCAGGAGAGAGCCAATCTGGTAACCACTCCCCCCCTCCCACACAGACACATCAACATCCACACAGAGTATATATTTTTTACTTCACAATTCTCTTAAAGGAGTTTCATGAGCCAGAGCTTCATTGGTGTAAACCATTTCAGGAGGGATCCATTTAATTCATAAATATCTGATGCACCACCTCAATAATGTACTTACAATACACTATCCATAATTACTTCTTAGCCTGTAAAAGTGGTATGTTAAAAAAACAACAGTGTACTAACCATAGACTCACTTGCCATAGGTTCCATCCAGCCTCAGCCATTATGTATTTGTTTGCAATCATCATATTATGATTTCTTGAGTTAAAAATAGCAACCTTCTAATAATTCCTATCTTTTCACATCTGCAACATTATAGGCACTGCTAGCTGTCAAAAGCAAGTACTACATATTACTGTATAATACATAAATTTTAACACGTCGGCTGTCTCCCACCGAGGCAGGGTGACCCAAAAAAGAAACACTTTCACCATCATTCAACAATTTCAACAACATCCACACATAATCACTGTCTTTGCAGAGACACTCAGATACAACAGCTTAATGTCACTCCAACCAGTCAATATCACAAACCCCTCCTTTAACCCTTTCAGGGTCCAGAGGCCAAATTTCAAAGGGTGCACCAGTGTCAAAGAATTTTCCAAAAAAAAAAAAATTTTGCTATTTTTTCTTATGAAATGGTAGAGAATCTTTTTCTGAAGGTAATAAAACAAAAACTACGAAATTTGATGGAAAATTGACGAAATTATGCTCTCGTGAATTTTGATGTGTCAGCGATATTTACGAATTGGCATTTTGCCGACTTTGACTCCCATTTTAGGCCAATTATATTATTCCAGTCGACCAAATTCTTAGCTATTTCACTAGTATTACTTCTCTTCTATCGATTGAGCACAAGAAATTGCCAAGCCAACTGTTTCAACTACAAAATAAAGTGATCGGAAATTGGTAATTTGGCCAATTTAACACAAAGTTCAAAATATTCCAATTTCAAAATAGGGTCCAGAATAAACAATGCAGGTATTCCTGGAACTAAACTAACATTTCCTCTGTTCATTAGTTATGTTTTGTGGCTTTACAAATGAATTCCATTTTGATTTTTTATTCACATAATGAATTTTTATTCAAACCAAAAAATAGAAGATTCACTGTTATGTAATATTGTAATAATTGTATAAATATCA